ACTAGTGTTAATTAATTCTTAACTAAAATCATTCGGCTTTAGCCGTCTTATGAGACTCACGGCTAAACCCAAATGTTTCTAGTTCTAGTGACAGTTCAAGTAGAAAACTAGAACTAACACTATACCTAGAACTAGAATCATTCGGGTTTAGCCGTCTTTAGAGACGTGTGGCTAAACCCAAATGATTCTAGTTTTAGGTATAGTGTTAGTTCTACATGGTAACAGTGCTAGTGTAAAACTAGAACTAACACTATACCTAGAACTAGAATTATTCGGCTTTAGCCGTCTTATGAGACGCTCTGAGACGTTCTTGGTATAGTGTTAGTTTTTTGAGTTCAATAAAAATATACAACAATCTAGCGCTGCATGACAATTAAAACTAGAACTAACACTACACCTAGAACTAGGAAACATTCGAGTTTAGCCGTGCGTCTACAGAGCCTAGGTCTATTGTTAGTTGTAGTTTTACACTAACACTGTTGCTATGTAGAATTAAAACTATACCTAGAACTAGAATCATTTGGGTTTAGCCGTACGTCTCTTAAGACGGCTAAACCCAAATGCTTCTAGTTCTAGATATAGTGTTAGTTCTAGTTTTATATTAGCACTGTTACTATGTAGAATTAACACTATACTTAGAACTAGAATCATTTGTGTTTAGCCACACGTCTCTTAAGACGGCTAAACCCAAATGTTTCTAGTTCTAGATATAGTGTTTGTTCTAGATTTACACTTACACTGTCACTAGAACTAACTTTTTTTTTTCGGGTTTAGCCGTGCATCTCATAAAACGGCGAAAGCCGAATGATTCTAGTTCTTGGTCTAGTGTTAGTTCTAGTTTTAGTTCAATAAAAATATACTACATTCTAGCGCTGCATAACAATTAAAACTAGAACTAACGCTAGGTCTAGAACTAGAAACATTTGGGTTTATCCGTACGTCTTTTAAGATGGCTTACAATCTAGAAATAAGAAAAACTATTTTTATATAAAAAAGGTACCATATTAATCCGAAAAACATCTTAGATAGATGATTTTATCTCATCATTCAGTGTTACCAACCTGTAAGGCGTCAAAGTTAAATATCCCAAATTTGATATTTTTGGAATTATCTCAATATTCACATTTAGCTCATTTCAATTTTCCAACTTAAGACATACAAACAACTTGGGACTAATATTGCCAAATTAGGGGAGTTGATCTACTTTAATGTCCCCATGGAATTACTTGGGCTGGGTTTTCTTGTTATAACTTAATTAATCTTCTTCGGGCTTTTATTGATACTTTACTTTCATTAATATTTCTATAATATTTTTTACCCTACATTTTAACGATTAATAACATTGATGTGATATTTAATAACATTTGGAGCTTTAAAATATCAAAACAAAATTTACAGCTAATAGGTGATAAATAATACATTAATTAATTAAAAAACAATCTTGTTTATTTTATGAGGTTTTTTTTACGTTCACTTTTTTTAAGTATTAAAATGTAGATTGTAAAATTTATGAGGAGCTATTTCGCGAGTTTTGCGACGTTGTTGCATAACAAACAAGAAACTTGTAGGTGAGATATGAGGCGACATTATTTTATACAACGTTACGACCACGCCCAGATACGATAAATTTAAATTTTCGCGTTGGCAGAAACGAGATTTCGCCCAAAAGGTCAACTCGCGAAGTTAAAACTTTTTTTTTCCTCTCATTTTCAATTAACCGCAAATTATTTTTAATAAACTGGTTCACATTCGAAATACTCCTAAGGAAACTTAAACGTCACAAATATAATCTCGACAGTAAATAAAGTTGGAAAATGTCAAGATTTTAACTACCACAAGAAAAGCAGGATGAGTTTTAATCTTTTTTTTCATTTTTGAGAACGATAAGATTCGTCTCTATTTGAGGGAAAATCCACCAGATGGCGTTACAAAATATACGTTCCCGTCACGTGACAGCGTTCGCAATTATTTTACTGAATTACGACCCGCGACATCTGTTGTCGTTCCCACGAACTCCGCCGCCCGAACCTTTAGGTGATAATATCGATCGCTGTACTACTCACTACATTCGCTGTCTCTCCACTTGTGGTTTCTATCAGAAATACACCGGTAATTTAATGGAATTTCAGTTTAGTCCTGATTAGAGTTTAGGACAGTATAGCACACGGAGGCTTTTCTAATTAACTTTCCAATTAACTTTTTGATAATTAATAATGTGAACCAAAAAAACTATTTCAATTAAAGATAGCAATCTTAAAAGTTTCTTATTTAACAATAAAGACTTTATTACTACTTCTCAAATGTTTTGGACAGAAATAAACTATTTTGGAGATAATTGAAACGATAAAATTATTATGTCATTTTTTATGTCAATTTCTTTTAAGCTAGATATTAGAATATAGGTTCCTAAAAAATCTACCGGTTTCGGATTATAAGTACATCATCAGCTGCAAACTGTTAGCCAATGCGAACATTAAACATGCAGTTTTAAAATAGAAACGTAAAACATCGTATCTTAAGAATGGCTGGAGATATAATAATGAAATAATGCACATTTTATAGATAATTTAATGAAAATGCTTCAAAGATAATTTCTTATTTTCCATAAACTTCGTTGTTATGATTTTTAAACCCAACTCAGCACATTTGATTGTTAAATTCTAAACCAGAAACTTAAAAGAATCGAATTAATTAAGAACGAGTTGAGATATAATAATGAAATAAAGACCATTTTATAGCAAATTTAATATAAATAATTTATTATTAAAGTCATAAACTTCGTTGTTATGACTTTAAATCCAAATCAGCACAAATGATTGTTACAGATTTTAATTAATCGTATCTCAAGAACGAATTGAGATATAATGATAAAATAAAAACTATTTTAAAGGAAACTTAATAGAGAATTGGTGTGCCATAAATAATTTCCTTATTTGTCATAAATATCGCTGTTATGGTATTTGAAATCCAACTCTGCATAATTTATTGTTAGAGATTTTAATCACAGATATTTAATTAATCGTATCTCAAGAACGACTTGAGATATCATGATAAAATAAAAAGCATTTTAAAGGAAAATTAATAGAGAATTGATGTGCCATAGATAACTTCTTATTTCCCATAAACATCGCTGTTATGATTTTTTAAACCCAACTCAGCACAAATGATTGTTACTGATTTTAATTAATCGTATCTCAAGAACGAATTGAGATAGCATGATGAAATAAAAACTATATGAAAGGAAACTTAGTAGAGAATTGGTGTGCCATAAATAATTACTTATTTCCCATAAACATCGCTGATATGGTTTTTTAAATTCAACTCTGCATAATTTATTGTTAGAGATTTTAATCACAGATATTTAATTAATCGTGTCTCAAGAACGAATTGAGATATCATGATGAAATAAAAAGCATTTTAAAGGATACTTAATAGAGAATTGGTGTGCCATAGATAATTTCTTATTTCCCATAAACATCGCTGTTATGATTTTTTAACCCCAACTCAGCACATTTGATTGTTACAGATTTTAATTAATCGTATCTCAAGAACAAATTGAGATATCATGATGAAATAAAAAGCATTTTAAAGGAAACTTAATAGAGAATTGGTGTGCCATAAATAATTACTTATTTCCCATAAACATCGCTGATATGGTTTTTTAAATCCAACTCTGCATAATTTATTGTTAGAGATTTTAATCACAGATATTTAATTAATCGTATCTCAAGAACGAATTGAGATATCATGATGAAATAAACACCATTTTAAAGGAAACTTAATAGAGAATTGGTGTGCCATAAATAATTACTTATTTCCCATAAACATCGCTGATATGGTTTTTTAAATCCAACTCTGCATAATTTATTGTTAGAGATTTTAATCACAGATATTTAATTAATCGTATCTCAAGAACGAATTGAGATATCATGATGAAATAAACACCATTTTAAAGGAAACTTAATAGAGAATTGGTGTGCCATAAATAATTACTTATTTCCCATAAACATCGCTGATATGGTTTTTTAAATCCAACTCTGCATAATTTATTGTTAGAGATTTTAATCACAGATATTTAATTAATCGTATCTCAAGAACGAATTGAGATATCATGATGAAATAAACACCATTTTAAAGGAAACTTAATAAAGAATTGGTGTGCCATAAATAATTACTTATTTCCCATAAACATCGCTGTTATGATTTTTAAAATCCAACTCTGCATAATTTATTGTTAGAGATTTTAATCACAGATATTTAATTAATCGTATCTCAAGAACGAATTGAGATATCATGATGAAATAAAAAGCATTTTAAAGGAAACTAATAGAGAATTTGTGTGCCATAGATAGTTTCTTATTTCCCATAAACATCGCTGTTATGATTTTTTAAATCCAACTCAGTACATTTGATTGTTACAGATTTTAATTAATCGTATCTCAAGAACAAATTGAGATATCATGATAAGATAAACACCATTTTAAAGGAAACTTAATGGAGAATTGGTGTGCCATAAATAATTACTTATTTCCCATAAACATCGCTGATATGGTTTTTTAAATCCAACTCTGCACATTTGATTGTTACAGATTTTAATTAATCGTATCTCAAGGGCAAATTGGGATATCATGATGAAAGAAAAAGCATTTTAAAGGAAACTTAATAGTGAATTGGTGTGCCATAAATAATTTCTTATTTCTCATAAACATCACTGTTATGATTTTTTAAACCCAACTTTTCGCATTTGAGAAAAAAGTATATGATATACATTTTTTTAATATAAAGATAGCAAACTTAAATACTAAAATAGAAAATTTACTTTGTTATTACCATATATTTTATCTTAAAAATAGGATTAGTTTTCCCTTTCATGGAACGAAATTGGACTCATCCCAAAACTAAATTCGCTCCAAATTGAAACACAACCACACCAATTTTCTCCCCCAATATGCAATTTGCGGATTGTTGCTCTGTATTTTCATCATTTATTTTTATTTCAGGGTTGCACTGATGTCAGGGAATCCTCCCTTCAAATAAGCCATGCCCTGCACAACCTTCAAACTCAATCGGCCAGCAGGGAAAACATCCATCAAACTTATATTCAAGTAAGTGGAATCGATTACTTTAAGCGCCATCTCACGACGAGCTTAAAAAAGTTGAACGTTGTGGAGTTAACGAGAGATGTCTCTGAATCAAATAATTAGTAAATTTTGAAAAAATTTTGTTATTTTTGATTTGAAAAAGAAATTATTTTTAATTAGGTTTTAAACGAAGATGCGTGTGAAAATTGTTGTTGAATTAGTGGGTAATGAGGTTGCCCGGTAACAAAAGCTCTCTAGGTCGAGCTTTAGCTGCGCTTGTGCAAGTCCGAGCTGTACCCAGTCTGCTTTTGCTGTGCTTTCGCGCTCGTCCCGGGACATAACCTAAAATTGTTAATCTCTATCTAAAATTATTAAATCTATAATGAAAATTTTAACCGAAAATTTCAAGATTGAAGTGAAATTTTATTAAGAAGTGAAAAATCATTTAAAAAGGAAGTGTTTGAATTAAAAATTAGCTAAAATAATTGTTCAAGCGAATATTTGATATTGTTTATATCAAAAATATCGTTTAATTATTTAGAATAACGCTTGTTTATTTAGAATTAAATTCAAAGCGGTGGATGAGACGATACAATGTTTAACTTTATCCTATCCGGCACGTGATAGAACAAACAAACAGGCGGTAACTCGTCGAGAGGCGACTAATTTGGCGTTTACATTTAACCGGGGCACAGTAATTTCCCAACGGTAAAATCTACTCCTACACAGTTTTACACATATATTATTTTTTTGGAAATTTTATGAAACAAAATAGTACTTTAAAGTGAACTAGTTTTTCGGTCATCTAATCACGGCGAATCGTAAAGTTGCTGGAAATAGACGGAACGGCATAAAATCGTTATAGAGAAAGAGGTTTACCAAAAGTCGTAAAATTCGGTAGTAAAACAATGTAAAGTTTGTTTGTAATTACACGAAACGAAACGTGCTGAAATAGTTTTTTTCTTTATTTTGTTGGTAACTCTTTGTTAGTTTTTTCTGGTGATTCATCGAAAAGTTATTTTGCGAAAATTGATTTTCTTTAGCAAAAACGTTTCTAAATGAATCACCCCGAGTCTTACGCTTTGGGTAAACTATTAAATTTTCTAAATGTGTACGCAAAGGTCGTTAATATTCTATTTTTTAACCTAACAGGAGGTCGTAAAGAGTTTTAAATTAAAGAAGGATCTTTATAGTACGGTAAAACTTTGATATAACGGATTGATATTGAAAAGGAAGTGTCCGTTATAACCAAAAGACTTTCAATAGAATTTTACATAAATTCAAACAGCCATCCTCTTTGTTGCGTTCTGTGTTTGTTAGTTACAATAAAACTAACATTAGAATTAACACTAGACCTAGAACTAGAAACATTCGGGTTAGCCGTACGTCTCTTAAGACGGCTAAACCCGAATAATTCTAGTTCTAGGTCTAGTGTTAGTTCTAGTGACAGTCCTAGTGCAAAACTAGAACTAACAATAGATTTAGAACTAGAAGCATTTGGGTTTAGACGTACGCCTAAACCCGAATGATTCTAGTTGTAAGTCTAGTGTTAGTTCAACTTTTTGTTGAATAAAAATATACAATCTAACGTTGAATAACAATTAAAACTAGCACTAACACTAGACCTAGAACTAGAAAGTTTCGGGTTAAGCCGTACGTCTTCAAACGTTGATATAAGAACAACTGAAAAAAAATTGAGGTTAACATGCCATTTAGAATTACAAACTGTAACAAAATTGTAATTTAATCTTTGAGATATCATTCAAACGTCACTTTTGACATTAAAATCTTCTTGTGATGCAAAATGATCAAATTTGATAGTTAGAACGTCAATTGGTAGCAGAAATTAAGGCATATTTAGATTGTCAAATTGTCAATTTTGTCTTTAAGCTATCATTTAGATGTCAGTTTTGACGTTAAAACCTTCTTGTGATGTAAAACAATCAAATTTTACAGTTAGAACATCAATTGGTAGTAAATATTGAGGTTGACATGTCATTTAGAATATCAAATTGTAATTTAATCTTTAATATGTCATTCAAATGTCACTTTTGACGTTACAATCTTCTTGTGATGCAAAATGATCAAATTTGACAGTTAGAATGTCAATTGGTAGTAGAAAATAAGTTAAATATGTCATTTAGAATGTCAAGCTGTCAATTTTGTCTTTAAGCTATTATTTAAACGTCACTTTTAACCTTAAAATCTTCGTGTGATGCAAAATAATCAAATTTTACAGTTAGAACGTCAATTTGTAACAAAAATTGAGGTTGACATGTTATTAAGAATGTCAAATTATAAAAAAATTGTAATTTAATCTTTAAAATGTCACTTTTGACATTAAAATCTTCATGTGATGCAAAATGATCGAATTTTACAGTTGGAACGTCAATTTAATCTTTAATATGTCATTCACATGTCACTTTTGACGTAAAAATCATCTTGTGATGCAAAATGATCAAATTTGACAGTTAGAATGTCAATTGGTGGCAGAAAATCAGCTGAATATGTCATTTAGAATATCAAACCGTCAATTTTGTCTGTAAGCTATCATTTAGATGTTACTTTTGACATTAAAATCTTCGTGTGATGCAAAATAATCAAATTTCACAGTTAGAACGTCAATTTGTAACAAAAATTGAGCTTGACATGTTATTAGGAATGTCAAATTGTAAGTAAATTATAATTATAATTAAAACTTAATCTTTAAGATGTTATTCAAACGTCACTTTTGACATTAAAATCTTCGTGTGATGCAAAATAATCAAATTTTACAGTCAGAACGTCAATTGGTAGCAATAATTGAGGTTGACATGTTATTAAGAATGTCAAATTATAAAAAAATTGTAATTTACTCTTTAAAATGTCATTCAAACGTCACTTTTGACATTAAAATCTTCATGTGATGCAAAATGATCGAATTTTACAGTTGGAACGTCAATTTAATCTTTAATATGTCATTCACATGTCACTTTTGACGTAAAAATCATCTTGTGATGCAAAATGATCAAATTTGACAGTTAGAATGTCAATTGGTGGCAGAAAATCAGCTGAATATGTCATTTAGAATATCAAACCGTCAATATTGTCTGTAAGCCATCATTTAGATGTTACTTTTGACATTAAAATCTTCGTGTGATGCAAAATAATCAAATTTCACAGTTAGAACGTCAATTGGATGCAAAAATTGAAGTTGACATGTCATTAAGAATATCAAATTGTAAGAAAATGGTAATTTAATTTTTAATATGTCATTCACATGTCACTTTTGACGTCAAAATCTTCTGGTGATGCAATATGATCAAATTTGATAGTTAGAACGTCAATTGGTAGCGGAAAGTAAGGTAAATATGTCATTTAGAACGTCAACTTGTCAATTTTGTCTTTAAGCTGTCATTTAGATGTTACTTTTGACCTTAAAATATTCGTGTGATGCAAAATAATCAAATTTGACAGTTAGAACGTCAATTGGTAGCAAAAATTGAGGTTGACATGTTATTAAGAATGTCAAATTGTAAGAAAATTGTAATTTAAGGAATGTAATCTTAGGAATAAAGAAATGATTTATATCTCAAATTATAGCTTAAGTCGTCCTCTTTAAAATGTATCATAAGCTATATGTTAATAATGGAAAATAAATGTGTAAATAAATAAATAAATAAGGAGGAAAAATGATTTATAAAAAATAAAAAATTTTGGTAAATATTGATTGAAGTAATTTTTTAGAAAATCGCATCTCCTATAGTTTTGGGAGCAAAGAAGCGTGTTATATCGCAAATTAAAGCTTAAATTATTCTCTTTAAAACGACGTATGATACCCTATTTTAAATGATAAAGTTTGTTAGAAAAGAATTTTTAAAAATGACGTTGTAAAAAGTAGGTTAGATTAGCGATATTAATTTAACTTAAAGTTTAAAAAATCGTTTCCGATTTATTCGTAGGAATGAAGAAATGATTTATATCTCAAATTATAACTTAAGTCGTCCTCTTTAAAACGATGTATCATAAGCTATATGTTAATAATGGAAATAAGGTGGAAAAATGATTTATAAAAAATTATAACTTTTGGTAAATATTGATTGAAGTTAATTTTTAGAAACTGGGATCTCCTACAGTTTTGGGAGTTAAGAAGCGTGTTACATCGCAAATGATAGCTTAAATTATTCTCTTTAAAACGAAGTATAACACCCTATTTGAAATGATAATGTTTGTTAGGAATGAATTTTTTAAAATCATGTTGTAAAAAGGAGGTTAGATTAACGATATTAATTTAATGTAATGTTTAAAAAATCAGTTCCGGTTTATTCTTAGAAATGAAGAAATGATTTATATCTCAAAATATAGCTTAATTCGTGCTCTTTAAAACAATGTATCATAAGCTATATGTTAATAATAGAAATAAGGAGAAAAATGATTTATAAAAAATTATAAATTTTGGTAAATATTGATTGAAATCAAAACGTCTCAAAACGTCAATTGGTAGCAAAAATTGAGGTTGACATGTCATTAAGAATCTCAAGTTGTAAAAAAATTGTAATTTAATCTTTAATATGTCATTCACATGTAACTTTTGACGTTAAAATCGTCTTGTGATGCAAAATGATCAAATTTGACAGAATGTCAATTGGTAGCAGAAAATAAGCTAAATATGTCATTTAGAATGTCAAATTGTTAATTTTGTCTGTAAGCTATTGTTTATACAGTGTGAGCCATTTGAAAACGGAGCACCTTCGTAAAATATGTATTTATTATTCGATTTCGAAATTTTTTTTTTGAATTGTAGACCATAAAGAATTGTACCTTCGGACAAAGAGTCATGTTTTTCTTAGTAAAGCCAAGGCCTACTATTTCACTTTTTAGGTGCTAAAAATGAAGAAATCATCAGTCATATTAGGAAATTTTTTAGAAAAAATCTGAGTACACCACTGCATTAAACGCCGTTTGAAATATACCAAATTTCATCAAAAATGGTTAGAAATTAAAACCGTTGCAGATAATTGAAAAATATCATTTTTTATGAATTT